CGACAAATTAATTTATTTGAGATTTTCAATGAATAAATTTCACCCGTCTCATAATTTTCAATACAAATCCACAAGCACTACACGTTTGACACTGACACTTTTGTGGAATAATGACCATTAATCCCGCTACTCGTCATTAATCCCTGGAGGAATAACATATGTCATTATACCTACTGCCAAAATCACAAATATAATATGCACATTATACATTAGTCGTAAATAAACTGACTAATATGCACGTTGCGTTAAGGCAAACTTATTTTAATTTTTTCATTGATTGTCTCAAATTTCTTGTCCGACAAATGTGATATCATTAATGTAATGTAAAAAACAGTCGATTGGCATTAAAACTATACGTACATGTATCAACTTCCATAGGGACGTCAGAACGACAACTTCACGAAGAGCTAGCGCGGCAATGTCCCATCGCCCAGGGTGGAGATATGAAAAATATTGTCCGACTTGATGTTATGAAGCCGCTCAGGAAGTTTGGCGTGTACATGAGTTACAAAATTTTAAGGTCGATGTACTGGGGACTAATAATGAGACACAGTTCACAGCTTCTAATATTCAAAAATTTTTTGAACGTAATGGAATTAAACACATAACATCACCACCGGGCCATGCATAATCAAATGGTTTGGCAGAAAATACAGTGGAAACATTTAAAAAACAACGTCAAAAGTCGTCTAGCAGACCCACAAAACAAAGATAAAACTTGATAATTTCAGAATTTTTATTTTCACAGAGAACTACAAAACATATATATTCACATAAGAAGCACTAGCAAACTTGATGCTAAGCAGAAACATCATAACAAGGATGGATATTTTAAGAAAGACAACAAATATAGCTAGAGGGAAACTCGAGGAAAATGACTCCAACTGACCAGCAAAAGCAACAACAAAAAGCACAAGAAAGACAGATAAAGAACTTTGGGGGAAAGGAGAGAAAAGTTGCAATCGGAGACAAAGTATAAGTGGCAGACTACAGAACTGTGAACAAGAGAATATGGACGAGAGCGACGATAGAAAAAAAAATCGGAAAAACAACATACTTGTATCGATTAGAACAGGGAAACCTGTGGAAAAGACACATAAACCAGATACAACTCTTAAACCAAAAACACTAGGAGGAGGAAGAGAAGGAAGAAAGGGAAGTACAAATGGTGCCTGGAAAGACAAATGAACGGCAAAGGGGAACATGTGCGGGGGATATTCTAATAATAATGGTAACATTGGTTGTTTTTTCAGATCGGTCAGAGACACGACAGGGTGTTTCTCATGTTAATTATAGTTTTTCTGATTTAGATCAAACCACCATCCGAGCCAGACCTCCTTACGCATGCAGCCAGCCAACCACCCAGCCACCAGTTCAAAACTCAAACCTTTGGATCAATGCAAAAATCAGGTTGTATCACCCCAATTAGCCAGAGTCGTGGAACTTGGAATAAAAATGAGTTAGAAATATTATAAGGGATGACGGCCATAAAACTTTGAGTTACATAAAGTCAATTTAAAGAAGGAGGAGTGTGACATCCTATACTGTACTGTATGTAGGTACAATGGCAGGGACATCCGGTATAGTGACTAGGACTACGACTACGACGCGGCACATGATGGAACTACGAACGAGCCACATCGGCTGAGGACGAGTAGTTTGCTGTACAGTACACCGACTACACACCGTCAAAGTAAATACCACGCTCGAAGTCGACGTCTTGCTATGACGTCCCCGCCCGTCTAAATCCCTTCTGTGCAACTTAGATATTAAAGTATTAATTGACATGTAATATTAGCCGCAATAAACCTAATTTAATAAGAATCACGATTTCAGTTTAACCGCTGGTTCAAATTCAACTTTCGCTCGACCATCATATAACCTATCCCCCACTTTCCCAGGAAAATCGCATTCTAGTAGAGCTTTTCCTCTTCCAAACTGTTCACACATTATGGATCTACCAAAAGATGAAACTATCAAGAAATATAGCTTCGAGAAACTTTTTTCCATCGAACTAAGCACGAAAAACGAATGGAACAAAGAATCTCTCCAATCCCTGAAAGCAAACACCATCAAATGGAACACAGAGACGGTTCCAAAACAGCTGAGGGATCTGGATCAGGAGTATTCGGGCCACGGACCAGATACTCGGAGCCTATGGGCAAGTCACCAAGCATTTTCCAAGCGGAATTGCATGCGATCGGCAGATGCGTGCAATTCAATCTAAACAAAAGATACTGGAAACGAGAAATTACGATAAAGTCTGAGTTAGGAAAAGAAAACAAAGTAACTCTCCTCTGGGTCCCTGGGCACATGGGAGTTGAGGGCAACGAATGCGCAGATACACTCGCAAGAACGGGAGCTTCTACCCCTTCACTGGGCCAGAACCATTCTGCGGTCTCGGCAATAGGCACTTCCAAGGAATCCTCAAAAAGGAAGAAAACCGGCCAAGATACAAACACTGGCTAGAACAGCTAGGACTACGGCAGGCCAACGACCTACTGGGCAACTTTAACCAAAAAAGATCAGAACTGCTAGTCAACCTTAGCAAGTCTCAAAACGCTAACCGGGCATGCTAAAAGTGATTTTATTTTGTTCAAAGGGATGGAACACTCCGCCTACGGCGTCGTGTCCCAAACTGTTTTACTTATTACAGGAAAACTAGCCTAAAAATCTTCTGTGGAAAGTACGCGCACGCGCATACTAAAGGACCCACGTTGAGATATAGACGCAAGTGCTTGGAGCCGCCCAGCCATTCACTTCTTTCAGTAATATGGGTCTCCAAGCATTTGCTATGAACAAGCTCCGATCGCATGATATCGCAAGACATTCCTCTGCGGCCTGAGGCCAATTTCTCGCGTGTCCGGTTTCGCCGTTGCGCATTTCGTCAAGGATGTGCAATCTATAGGCTGTCCTCATGGCCTCGAACTGAATCACGAGGTCCAGGGGCAGGAGACCTAGGAGGGTCTCCAGAGGGCCCTTGTTGGGGCCTTACGCATGGTACGCATACTGAGGCAGAAAAGGTGCTGGACTCTGTCCAGTTGCGCCCGTATTCTGGCTTTCTCCGTGCAAGGCCACCAAACGATAGCCTCATACGTGAGAAGAGGTTTAACTATAGAGTTATGAATCCAGTAGAGGATCTTCGGTGAGAGACCCCAGGTGCAACCAAAGGCCCGTCTACAAGCCCAAAGGACACAGGTAGCCTTTTTCATCCTGTTCTCTGCGTGTTCATACCAGGACAGTTTAAAATCTAGCATCACGCCTAGATACTTAACCACCCTGGAGTATTTAAGAGTCACTTCTCCCAGAGAAATATTGGGCGGTGTGCCGAAGTCCGAAGTTGCGTCTCCTGGAGAAGAGTAGGAGCTCCGCCTTATTAGGGTTTATCCTGAGTCCTTCCGCACACTGGCGTAACTATCATAGGGCAGTTCGGTGCAAATCACCGAGGCCCCAGAGAGTTGAGGGGCCCCGCATTTGTTATAAGTAGGTACCTTACCTATTTTATTGAATTCGTAATGATTTAAAAAAAAAAAGTCTTTTTGAATGTCTGGAAATTGTAATACAAGTTTATAATAAAATGTTTTCCGCTAACAACCTAAGGTTGTCGACCTTGTCTGTTGGGGGCCCCAAAATATTTAGTATTTTTCTAGTAAACTTCTTCAAGCACTAGTGCGTAAAGTGGTAAGCAATATGTGTGTAAACTGTAAAGCACCTTTTTCCACTCATGTGATAGTCAAAATTCACATTCGTGTAAAGGTTCACTTTATACACTTGTTGCATAAATAGCTATTTTGAAGGCTTGAAATTACCGTTTTTGGGCGTGGCACCCAATGTCAGGGGGGGGGTTAATCTAATCAGTCACTGTAATCTAATCTTGCACCAAGGCCCCCTGATGTCAAGTTACGCTACTGCTTCCGCAAGGCACCACCGGTCCACTATGCGCAGAGCCCTTGCCATAGGGCCCTGCAGTGAGACGGCGTCGGCATCATAGGCCTGAGTATACAAGCCTGCCTTGTGTTAGGCCAGTAATCAACCACCAGGCACCACAGAATCGGGGATAGAACTCTGCCCTGCGGACAGCCTCTGGCGGCCACCTTTCTAACCACCGCATTATTAAGTTCTGCGGATACTCGACGTTGCGAGAGCATAGCCTCTATCCATTTCACCAGACAGGGCTCTAAGCCACGCCCTTCGAGCACTTCGCAGATAATGTTGAAAGGAGTATTATCAAATGCCCCTTCAATGTCAAGGAATGCCGCCAGACTGGCCCAGATTTCCTTCCACCTTCCTGACCAGGTGGTGCAAGGCCAGTTCTGTGGATTTGCCAGTTTTATAGGTGTATTGTTGGGTGTGTAAAGGTCTGGAAACCAGTATGCCTTCCTTCACATATCGCGGTCCAGTAGCCTCTCCAGAGTCTTGAGCAGGAAACTAGTGAGGCTAATGGGTCGATACGATTTTGGGTCAAGCACTTTAGAAATCACACATTCCTTTTTATTTTTAAAAGTGCTTCACAACCACAAAGCCGTCAAAGTGCTTTGTGCTTGTGAAGCACTTTTGAAGGAATCTGTGCTCGAAATTGAAAGCACTTTGAGAAAGGGCTCAGGCCTTAGTGCTTCAAGCCCTCGGAGTTCAAGCCCTTTTACTGAGAGCTTTGCCCAGCTCTGCTTCACATACAAATCAATTTTTGATTTAAATCGTTTGTTCAAATGAAAATTGAAGATATTTGATTTAAATATTTTCCAAAATGATCTTCAAGTGAACAGATGTGCAGGTTCCTACTATAAAAAAACATCAGACAAACCTTACAATAGGTAAGTACGTTATTTATTTTGCCTTGTTTCTAACGAATTCTCTAATTAATAATGGAAGCAGAGATCATGAAATATGAGAAGCCAGGTTGCAGATTAGCATTCAGGAATAGGTACTGCGAATCTTGCCTCCGACAAAACAATTTTTAAAATTCATTCATTCATTTCATTCATTCAATGAAAATTAGTAAATAAATTAAAAATTTAATTTTTATTTGAAAACCCAAAATACAATAATCGTTAGAATTAAAGAATTATTGGTATACGGTCGTACAGTGGAACTGGTTTTCTTTGATCTTTTCTTTTCGTCTTGCAAATGTTCCACAACAAAGTCAAACATCGTTTCAGATGAAATGAAATCGAATGAATCAGCTGTTTTAATTCTTCTTCTTCTTGGTGTTGGGTCACAATTCTGTCCGCCAGCTATTATTCCCATTTGAACGTCGCCACATATGAGCGGTCCGTCATATGGCGCATGACAGTTATCTACAAATATTTGTCCATCTCCTTTTCGGTCAACCAAACATTCCAGGCTTTTATCCAGAACAACGTAAGGCCGTTTTTTATTTCCATGTTCCATAGTACCAACAGATGCAATTCCTGTTGAATTGTCTTCATATTTTTTTTTAAATCCAATTACTGTAGCTCCTTTGCAGGATAAATTGTCTTTTTCGTATTTTCGTGTATTTGGCCAATCGGATGGCCATGATGGTGACGATGCCGACCTCGAACGCATTTCGGGAACAGGGAGTTTGACAAATTTCAAATCTGGTTGAATAGAAAGCAGACCTTCCTCTATTTTTATGACAGCGATATTACCCATGCCGCGTCCTTTCGCTAGTGGAACGCTTTTGTAGTGAACATTCTGAATATTGACGTTGGTGAGAGTTATATTTTTATCGATCATAATATTAGTTAAATTGTATGCGGTTGATTCCACATGGTAAGTATTACCATAATAATTTATTATTGTTATATTCTTGATTATTTTGGTAATATTCTGAATCGTATTATTGATATAATAGACATTTTTTTGACGAGTGCTTTGATCCTGATGATAATGATGATGAACCTCGGGCTCGGGATCGGGCGTGAACAAATTAACAATAGGTTTTACTATTTTGACATTAATCCAATTCCCGATATTTTTGAAAAGATTACCAAACCAACCCCTCGCCTGTTTTATTCCCGTACCTACAGCCGTATTAGGAGTAACGAATACACTGACCGTAACCACAGCTGTCTCTGGTATCTCCGCTGTTAAAATTGTAGTGGGATTGAGTAATGTACCTACACCAATCACTTCGGGTTTTGCGGATCCTTTAAGTTCATCCAGCAGTAGTACCACATATTTCATATCATCGCTCGAGCATTCTTCTTGTATTTCTGATTCATTAGCTGCTTTTTCAGAGCAATTAACTTGCCAAATTATAGCCAAAAGGATGAAAAAAAAACATTTCGAAATGGGGATACTCATTTTACTTTTCTTGAGAGAGGCAAATTTATTCGACCGTATTCGACCAAATCAACTGGCAATGTTATCTTAACAACGGAAAACAAAAGCAACAGAGGTAAAAGCACAAATTTCAAGTTAACGCGACCATTTCACGACCTAATAGGAACCATAGAGACCCAATGACATTTCACAAAACTCATATTTTTATCTAAGGGCCGTTATATACGTAACGTACCTATCTTACATTTTATTTGTTTTTTTAAACTTTTTCTTTTGGTCTAAAGTCTATTTTTTTTAAATCAACGTCAAAATGACATTATGTTGGCAATACAATGTAAAATTGTCATGCTTTCAAATTTTTTATGTAGGAAAGGCTTATGTTATGCTCTCGATTAACGAATTTGATATGTTGTCAAAGTTTTGCATGGGCCAAGGTCTATAAGTATGATGTGGTTATAGCACATTCTAACCTCTGATTATTTTTAACGGCTGTTAAATGAGAGCAACAGTACCGGCACTAAGCCAATCATAAAACTACGCATTTTCCTATTGACTTGTTTTGTGTAAATCGACCAAATTGTGTCATATTTAATTAAACGAATCATAACATGAAAACATGTTGCATTTATTTTTGTTCAGCTTTGACGTTGACAAAAACTGTCTGACCTAAATTTTTCAGAACTGACTTTTTGTTGTTAAGCCTGACTCACACTAGGTAAATTCAAGCAATATAAATATATATTGCCTGTCCTGTACCTGTTGTTTGGCCAAGTGTACCTGTAGTCTGTAGTCCGTAGTCTAGGAGGTGTGCCATCTCATTTTGCAATTGAATGCAGTGTTGTGGAGTTTCCACAACTTTGAAACTTGAGGTTTGCGAAGAAGGTTCTGGGCTGGGTCGTATCCGGCGTAAACAAGAAAAAAAACAAGTTAAATCCTTAGATCACTACTAGAATTTATTACTTAATTGGTTGAGAAAATTAATATACTGAAGCCACTCTGCGTATATTGTGTGACGTGAGTAGCAGAGATTAATACATGGTTATGTGGAAATTAACATTACTACTACTGCTGCTTGCTTAGCGACAAACAGTTTTGTTGCCAACCTAATCACGTGACAAAATGATGGTTTGAAATTAAAAGTAACCTACTTTTAGGTGGCAACCACGGTTTGCTGCTTCAGCATTTAGCATTTACTAGAAAATAGAATATAATAAGTTGCATAAAATGTATTACAATGTTTAAATATAATTATGACTTAAAATGAAGGCTAAAACTAAGTAAAGGACAATCAACGATAATTGATATTGACTTTACAACAGCAGCACGGGAGTGAACCGTGAACCATATTGAAATTTTATTGTCTTTTTACTCAAATATAACAAAATGGTCAGAACCAGAAATAATATTTCAAAAAAAACCGAAATTAATTAAACCGGACCGGAATAAACAGAGATGGATTAAATAAACCATAGATAAATAAACGTCAGAGATAAATACTATATAAATTGTCGAGAATGGAATCTCAGTGTAAATTTTGTTGTCAACAAAACTGAGCCAAGCCAGCGCCATCTACCATATTGGAAACTCACTATTTACTGGTTTTTCATCGACGTTACAGACACCTACTTTACATAGGGCTTCAAGGCATTTTTATGATAGATGGCGCCATAGATAAGGGATACAAAACTCTCTCGAACCTATAATATAGATAGGCAACTCAATACAAACATTTTGTTCCTGATTACAGCGCCCTCTCGCTTGTGTAGTCAGCAAATTGAGAGCGCGGGAAGCGCTCCTTTTTAAATTTATTTTTTTTTTCTTTAGGATCCGTTTATCATTTTTTATTGCCACTAGCACTGAACAATTTAATATGTTTCTAGTGGAAATAAAATTATGATAAACAGTCTCTTGATCACATACCGAAGAGTTACATACTAATTAAATACAAAAATAACAATTTTGAATTACTTTATTAACTACAGTATGATATCAATCCAATCAATAATAAGTAACCTACAAGAATAAGATTTTTTGATTGTAAACGTTTTGCAGGCATAAAATGAACACCTGGAAAGAAAGAAAGTTACAGTGGTAAAATTACAGGAGGTAAAATCCCGATTTTGGTATAATGTAGGGATTGAAACATACCTGTTCATAATTTTTGGGAATTCCATGCATTTTACTCTGTTCCCTTGGCTTTCTCACATTGCCACACAACAAGATAAAACCATTTTGCTTTGAACGGAGAAAATTTTCAATCTCTGACTCCAATTTTGAATAAAAATGGAATATGTCAAAATTTGTCAAAATATAATGAAAAAGTAAAAGTGAAGCGACGCTGCCACATGTCAAAAGCATGGGATTTTTGTTTTGAAAAAAAAATGTAATTTGAAATCGTACTACTAGCAATTATATGTTAGCGAGGTACACGACGTTTTTTTTCCTATTGTTTCAAGCTTTTTAAAACAAATAAAGAATAATCTGGACTTTTTATGTATAAATCTGACAACGGCATTGGACGACAGCGCCTCTGCCGTCTGTAGTCGCAAGCTTTTAGCGGAACAAATTGCGCCATAAGAGTTGCACATGCATGGATGGCGCCCTGTTCGCATTACAGTCGGATCTTCCAATCTAAAAAGTTTGAAGGTCTTCGTGAAACACACAAAACCACTTTGAAATCACTCAGAAACACTTGACAACACAAAGAAAGACGAAATGCAAGACCGGCAAACGAAAAACATTATGAATTATTAGTTATGATCAGAGATAAATACTATATAAGCTGTCGAGAATGGAATCTCAGTGTAAATTTTGTTGTCAACAAAATTGAGCCAAGCCAGCGCCATCTACCATATCGGAAAATCACTATTTACTGGTTTTGCATCGATGCTACAGATACCTACTTTACATAGGACTTTTTATGATAGATGGCGCCCTGTTCGCATTACTGTCGGTCTGTTCAAATTCGTTTATTCTAGACTTTGGGGCAATAATGTTTGCTTAAATTAATTGATAATTTGTTAATTAGATCAAAAGACAGTTTCTTTATCGATGGTTAAGGGTATCCTTAACATATTTATTCAAAGTTCAGATTGATGTTTAATTGAACTAAACCTGTCATTTATCTAATCAACAAAGATAAAAATAGATCTTTCAATCTATAAAGTTTGAAGTTCTTCTTGAAACACACAAAACAACTTTGAAATCACTTAAGAACACTTGACAACACAAAGAAAGATGAAATGCAAGACCGGCGAACAAAAAACATTATGAATTATTAGTTATGATCAAATGCATATTTTGGCATATTATTGTCATACACAATTGTCATATGTTGACATGTCAGTTATCGACATCGGACGTGTTCTTGATGTGCTGGTATTTTACAATTTTGACAATTCTGTGGTTGTCAGCGACATCTAGAAAAATGGAAAAGAGTTATTATGTGGTTTATAACTGGCAATGAGAGATCGCAGGGCCTGGTTATGATCAAATGAATATTTTGGCATATTGTCATATATGTTGACATGTCAATGTTATCGACATCGGACGTGTTCTTGATCTGCTGGTATTTTACATTTCTGTTGTTGTCAGCGACATCTAGAAAAACGGAAAAGAATTATTATGTGGTTTATTACTGGCAATAAGAGATCGTAGGGCCTGATAAACGTTGACACAACTTGCCTTGACACAAGCAACAAGCACGTCAAATTTCGTTGTACCTTAGGGCGTGTTCTTTATTTTTCCACCAAATAAAAACTGTTGATTTCCACCAAAAATTTCCTGTTGTAGTCTAAGAGCCAGCGCCAAAAAAATTCTCTAAATTTACTAAAACATACCACGGTCAGTCAAGCGACACTTGGGACAAGGACCCAGGGTGTCTTGTTAAAGGTGTCGAGATAACGTTATACATATTATATTGTCAACTGCCTAAGTAAATACCACTCTGTACAACATCAATTTTACTAAAGTGTCTCGACAAGTCAACATTTATTTGGTATAAATACAGTGGCGGCTCGTAATGAAGGGCTCTGGGGCGCCGCCCTCCCTGCAGTAAATGAAAAATAAATCATTTTTGTTTTTCTTGAAACCCCAAAAATATTTCATTCAGAAAACCAATAAAACAATAATATGAAAATTGAAATTAATGAAATTCAAACATGCCGATATTCGGGCAAGTTATATCGAATAAATAACGCATTTCGTTAGTTCTACGCTACGGGCAACTTATGCCTATCGAACTCACTACCGAACGCGGGCGCTAGAAAATCCGTCCCGGCTGCATATTCATTTTTTGCCAACGCAACTGATATTCGGCTAGATTCGTGCCCTGCGCCATGAAGCGTTAGCAGAATATGAGCATCGCAACCAGACGTTGGCACTTCATGTGACTGTATGTTGCAAGCATTTTATTGATAATTAGGTCCGATAAATTTTTATTCGAGGGAAGAGAAGATAAAAGATAATAATTTTATTTACATGAAAATTTCAGCTAAAACAATGAATGGCATAATATTGTGGTAGATAGATCTACCGATGTCTTTAGAACTACCCGATGGAAACTAACTATTTTATAGAGTGTAAGCTAAAAAAAAAATGAAATAAGAAAATGCAAATGTGAAAATTGGGAAATGTCGAAAATGCAAAATGTCGAAAATGTGAAAAGTTCAAAATACGAAAGATTTTTTTCTCTTCTTGTTGTTGTAAAATAAATGTTCAGCTGAACTGTGTTTCTGTCGCACAACGTCAGAGAAACAAACTTCATGACTCATAATATTTATTCGAAATTTAATAATACATATACATGAGCTCTATTTTTTATACGCGCTCTTTTTTTGCTATTTGATAAGCTTCAGAAACAGAGATTGGGTCGCATTTCCAGCACGAGTCACTTTGGGTTAATTTGGATATGGTACTTTTCATGTACTTGCTTGAAAAAAGGAAATAGAAAGGAACAGCGCCTAGTGCGGTTTTTTAACCAAAATTAACCCAAACCAACCAAAAATATCCCATACTAACGCAAACCAACCGAAACTAACTCAAATCTACCAAAAAAGTTCTGGGGCCTTTGAACATACACAATGATTAATTTTCAAACTTTCAATAAATTTATTTCTTCATTCGTTATCGCATTTCGCATTAAAACGTACCAACAGCTAACC